CTCCAATGCCGTTCACCTATAATTGGCGTTACAAACACAAAGTGTCGTTAATTTATTCTGAATTAAAAATCCCGTAACAATGATAAACAAGAGAGACGTAAAAAAACCCTCGAACTTCAAATAATGCATCATGTTAGTTGAAAACAAAACTCCAAAGAGAAGCAGCAGTTAGAGTTTGTTTAAGTTTTAGTGGCTAAAGGAAATTAAAGGCTAAGTTATTAGAAATGAAATCAATAATTTTCCCCTCAACTTAACTAAAAGTCTGATTTAAACTTTAAGCCAGCAGAAAGTTCCAAGATATACCTACCCCTAAAGGCGGGGAGGAGTTCAGTGATTTAGCCAAACAAACACTGCGGGTCCCTATTATTAGAAGTTTTAGCGATAAATATACGTTTACCTAACTTACAACGACAGCCTGAGGTGACTGACTGAAGAAATATGTTGGATATTTAAGCTTTATTTCCGTTAAAACAACTAAAATCTGAACATTTATGTGAATAAATTTCAGCTGTTAAATGTAACAAAAGATAAAATAATTATCTAGAAATCAGGAAACCATTAAAATTAACGGTATTCTGTTGTTCCATGTGATTTTTCTGTTCGTCCCAAGAGGGGAAGAAGAAAAAGAGAAGCGGGGGGTGGGCCGGAGGAAGAGGATGGAGGGGGCGAGGCAGAGAGGAAGGCCGGCCACCGAGGGACCGAGAGCCCTGCCTCCCCCACCGGTGAGACGGCGGAAAAACCCTCTAGTTTATGTGTGTTTAACTTTAATCCCTTTAATATCATTCAAAAGCAGCTGAAATTATATAGTAAATGCCAACTCCGCTGTACAGTTTCATCTAACGGGTAAAATAATTATTATTATTGAAATATTGTTTGGCTATCAGGCCCTGTAACATGTTTATTTTAAATAATATGAAAGGCCTTATGAGGCCCAGCCCTCCTAGTGGCCGTTAGAGGAAACTGGCCAGGAAGCCGCCTCCCCCGCTGGGAAAACTTTTCAACCCTTTTTTACGTTTATTCACGTTACATTTAAAGCGTGACGTGTTCGTGTTCCTCAGGACGTGTACAGGCAGGTAAGAGGCCTGAAAGGGCGAGGCAAATAAAACGCACCCGTTAGCCTGAATAAAAATGACGATTCTCTGAGTTTAAAACATTTCAGATAATATAAAAAAGTAGGCATAAATAACGGCAGGTCGCAGTGTTTTTATACACTTTAAGTGGCAGAAAATGTTTCATATTAAATCTTCCCCTCCATCGAGCTCCAGGGTGTTTGATTTTTCACCCCATCCGTCTCAACTGTCTCAAAGCACAACCTTACCAACAGAAGATTTTATTGAATTGTGGAGAATCTATAACTGATCTAATGATGTTCATTATGTTCATATTGAGATCATTTCTATAAAATCCAGACCAGGCTTTTAAAGGAGACCTGCTTTTATTGGAAGTTTAACGGTATATTTTGTACATTTTGGCTCGAACTGAAGGAAACTGCTCTGTGTTTCTGTGTAACGTCCGTGTGGATAAACAGCAGCACCGAGTGGTGAAAAGAGAGAAACACACCGAACTGCAGGACCTCGTTCCTCGAATGTGGTTTCAATAAATCAGATCAATATTTTATTACCAGGCTGAAATAATCCCGTTTATTCTTTTTGGTTCTTTTGGCAGCAGTTTGTGGTTTGATTTGTTGATTCTGGGTGAATTTATCTTCAATTATAACTCTTATTTTGAAAAGAAGGCAAACTGATCATGTGATTGGTTCAATCCCAGCCTCCCAGCATGCACCGGGGCACCAGATTAAATCTAATTTAAATTAAAAATGTAAAGTTTTATTGTTCAAATGATAAAATTAATGATTAATGCCAAATGTTTTATGTTTTATGTCTTTTAGTTGAGTTTATGTCTCACAGTAGCTCTAATAAACTACATGTTCTTATTGAAAATCACAATTAAATTACATAAATAATATATATATATAATTTATAATCATCATTAATGCAAGAAAGACGTTTGTATTTTAAATAACTTCATGTAAAAGCGTCATCGTTACTACTAAAAGCTGCTCTTGTGCAGGTAAAGGACTGTTGCTACGACAACGGGTGCTTTAAAGCTGAATTTAAACCGGTTATGAAAAACTAAAAGAAACTGGACTCAAATTATCATCATTAAAATCTGGATAACTCATTTTATTATGTATAAAAGAAGTTAAACTACAACCCTAACACTCACTTTACTGTCATCTAGCGCCACCTAGTGGTTGTTGCTGCAGCGTGGAGCTGAAATAAAAGTCCTTTATATGTAGAAATAAAAAAAAAAACAGAAGACACACGTTGTTGCCTTTCTGTGTGAGTTTGTCTTCGTCCCTGTCGTCACACTTTGAACTTCCTGTGTCGGTTGTCTCACGTTGTTTGTTAATAGTTTCCTGCACTGATGCTTTCTGCTTCCTCACCGAGACGTTTTATTGTCGTTTTTTAATGGATAAAACTGTAATAAAAAGCTGTTAGAGTGGAGATAACACACAACCAACAGCATCAGAATCTGCTGCTTTCCCGTCACTGGCAATAAAATAATCTCTTCATCTTAAAACTTTATTTGAAAGCACCAAAGTTCAAACAGCTCACCTGGAGTTTACGAGCTGAAGCAGGTTGAGCTTCGACCTCGTACACGGCAACGCTTTAATTCCTGTACAAAGACAATAAGACTCATTATTAAAAAGCGGTAATCTTTACTTCTGCTTGTCAAAAGGAAGATGTGTTTTACTTCTGCAACTCTACTGCGACAGAAAGGTGTTTGATCAGAAATGTGTTGCTGAAGCTTTTGTGACGCTTGGTTTGGTCCCACAGTCGAGCACGGTTGCTTATATTTGCAATATTGTGATATATACAAAAGGACACAAGGTTATGTTATTGTGATTTTACAAGGCAGGCTTCTGTAATGACAGTTTAGGTTGTATTTCCCTTTATTCTACTTGTAAAAAACAACAAAATAAGGCTGAAATTTGTTGATAAAAAGGTAAAATGTGACAAACAGCATCACAATGAAGGATTGTAGTTCTGAAAATGTGTTAGAAATCTTTTAGAAATCTTATAATTTTCCTCTTTTAGACGTTTCTTCTCTCCCAAGCTCTAGTTTTCTGCTATAAATGTTGTTTTCCAGGTTTAAAACATCACAATATGATGTTTTTGCAGCCTTATTAATTAATAAGTCATAACATATATCATATATATATATATATATATACTAAATACCATTAAGGGTTGAAAACTGTAGAAGGTATTTAGGGGATTTGAGTGTTAAGGTAAATTAGCCTAAAATAATAACATAAATACAAAATACATATTAAATATAATATTAATAATATATTAAATTATTAAATATATGAAAAGAAATATATTAAAAAATATATTTATACATAAATGTCTGAAAAATAAACTAGAGTGAAAAATATTTACACATAAAAGTAAATTAAATAAGTTAATAATAATAATAAATATTGTATAAAATAATAATAATAACGCAATAATGCAAGAATGTATATTTTTAACAATAAATAAAAATAAAAATATAACTATAAAGCTAAATATAAATAAAAAAATAAAAATATATATAAATATAAATAAAAATATAAA